AACGTTTGGATCTGCGCAGTTGATCTTATTCATCAATATTCCGCATAGTTCTCGCGCATTGTTTTCTACACAAATCATTACTGTTTTGCTCTGTTTTTGTATATAACATGCTGTGTCGATTTCCCCATATTCGTTTTTTTTTCCTTTTTTTAGCTTTTATTCTTCAGCTGCAAACAAAAATTACTGATAAGTCTTGGCAAGATAAACCGTCAAATATTAAAAAACAAAGCAAAATAAAACACTAGAAGCAGACAAATTTTAAATTGTTTCTGTAGATTTAACAAATTGTGTTTGCCCATTTTCCAAATTTAGTTCTAAGCTGGCGCAATTTAATTATGCATAGCTCCTCGGATTTCGTTGCTTGGTCCCAGTGGCAAACTATATCACTCAGTAGAGTTGGGTACGTATTAGTTTTGTAGGTTGATGGTTAATGGTTAATTATTGATGGAGAAGAATGAATTAGACTGCATCCAAATATGAACATTCGGTGTTCAGATTCCATCACCGTTAGATTTACAGCAGTGCACAAAAAAATACAGACGTTGGTACATAGCTCTTGTATAGTGGTGACTAAAACGGTCGAATACGACACAACTCCAAGCATTCGACGCTTTTGATTGGTTACGAAGTCTGACAATATATAAATTATCTTTGAAAGTTTATTGTTTGTCTGCTTTCCAAAGTTCGTTCTTCGGTTGCGCAGTTTAATCATGTATAGAATGCAAATAATGTTCATAAACTTTATTCAAGGAACATCATTTCAAAATGCAAATGATACGAATGTGCTAAGAATCCTTTGACGCGCTCACATAGTTTACGTTTGCGATGTATTTATGATGACTAAACAGATAAATGGCATAAATAAAATCTTCTATTCGTGACCGTGCGATATCGGATTTACTAAACTCTTTAAATCATTCACGATTAAAGCAATTATATGACTACACGAAATCGTCACTTATATTGTGGATACTAACGTTTTAGTAAAGACTGTGTATGTTCTTGATAATGTCCGAACCATAGAGGGCGCCTGTTATAAAAAGTACAAGTTAAGCTACAGATTGATGATGAGACCCGTTTTCGGTAAAGTTACATTGTACATACCTCCCCTATCGCACGTGCTCATATATTGAAATTGATGAATGTGATGTGATCAACAAACGTCGGCGTGGCACCGGCGTTTGTAACATCGTTGTGCAAAAAATAGGTGGACCAAAAGTATCGCCTTTGCACTTAGAAGGTTAAGGTAGCCATCTCTGCGATCGAATCGAATCAACCTTTAAAAGTCACGTTTACTTTCACACACATACACACACCCACTCATGAATAATTAATAGCAGTCAAATGCCCGCAGATGCGTCCAGTCGGGATTTCTTTAGCGGTCAGGTTAGTTTTCGCGATCACGCTAAAAGGAGTAAAAGAACGTTACATTTATTCAGTTTATAATTAAAATTGTTTTCCATGAAAAAACATGAAAACCAGTATACCTGTATGTACGAAGCCAGTGAATGTTATTCAAGCCAAGGAAACTGCATCTATTTATATAAATACACATGGACAGAGAATATTTTTTTGGAGCACTAAATGTGACAATTGCCCTACTGTCTGTGATAAATATACCACACCAGCTACATAGCGCCCAACGAGTAGCTGGGTAGGTAGTGAAGAAAAACATTGACTGAAGCCTTGCAAAGGACTGAATTGTTGTCAATAGCAACAAACATACTGGGAAAGTCAAAGACAGTGAAAAAACAACCAAAAAAACACACAGGCATATAAATACTAACTTTCTAGTATCTTTATTGACTCAAAGTAATCCAGAGTAGAACTTTGAGGAATCAACGCTATACTCCGCCATCTTTATTTTAATATTAGATGCAACCATTATTTTATAGGGTACAACGTGTCATAACTTGAGGGGAGTTAACACCCATGATTTTAAAATGCCTTGATCAATAGAGTCTAAGTTACAGGGAACCTTAATTTGATTTTTCAG